ACCTTTCAGGCATGATTGGATATATATATATATATATATGTTTTTTCTGAAGTATGCACCATGTTGAGATGCAGCGAAATCGTCTTGGACATAAATCGTGCAGTATTGCAATTTGGTCTTTTCTTTTGAAATTGATCTCGGGAAAGACTTGCTTCAGTTTTCTCAACACAAAAATTATCAAAACTTTTACGGTGAAACACACAAAATTTTTTATCCCTTTTGTGCACAATTTCCCAGTGTTTAAATGTCTCTCCATCTTTCCACTTTGTTCTGTATCCCAATCCACCTGCCCCCTATTATTGTTGTGGCGTTGGCACCATACTTGTCTACAAGCGGATGCTATATATAAATATATATATACATATATATGTATATATAGCATATATAGCATATATAGCATATATATGTATACTTCTTGTGTGCGTGTCGTGTTATCCCATGTACCGACCCGGATGGTCCAGGTCGGTGTTCCCCGGACTGATATCCTCGAACCGAATCACGCTCCATCTTTCGGTCAGAAGTTAACACGTACCAGACATCAGTTATTTGTTGGAAGACGCGGGAGATGCACACATGCACGATATCGTGTCATATATAGCAACTAAACGAACCTGATGATTCATACTTAAAGGGGAATTTCGTCGCGTATATGGTAAATGAAGGGTGAACTGAGAATGTAGAAAGCACTGGACAGGGTCGATGGATTCGCACTGCTGATGACACCTAACCAGGTCGAAACAGCTGTTTAGTGATTCCTAGATTTTCAGTTCACGCTTCATTTGCTCTGTGTATACGACAATTTCCTCTTTGAAATTGAATAAAATCCTCCACTACTCACACCATTCATACGTACTTTGACTTACAGAAGAAATGCTCCAAACAAATCGAAGTAACCTAGTGAAGGTAACTGTCTAGTGTGAACCAAAAAGAGTTTGTGAAAAAAATCACAAATCGCTCACCGATTCGTCCAGGATCTCAGGCTCCTCTCGCAACACCACTAATTGAGACATTGCAATTGTCAGAATGAGATATGCCGCGGCCCAAAGTAACTGTAGAAGAACTTTCGTAACGGTTCTTTGCATTTGGTACGGAGCAAATTTTCTCTCGGCCACAAACACGGGACCTGTGCACAATGAAGAAATCCAAATTAGGCTCTCGCACTGAGATTCAATGCCCACTGCATGTGTGCAACCTCTGTCCCATGTGTGTGCGTGTGTGTTTATCACCCCAGTAGAGATGTTGTCAGCTAGAATGAACAATGTTTGTTTGTTTACGGAGTATGAAAACGAGAAGGAAAACAGGAAGATTAACGAGCAAACGAATAGGCCAGGTTACTGTTTCGTTTTTGTACCACATAACTCAAGGGCGTACGTGGGTATAGAAACACGATAAATCGAGTATCCATAAAGCTTGGGCAGTGTGTGTTTGTGATTTGTATAAAGTCCACAAATCGGACTTTGTTGTCCGGTTTTCCCCTGATCTATGTTATCATGTGAGTTGGACTGGGGAGAGTGCATCTTTCGGTGACTGGAGGGCCATGGGGTGCTGAGGGAATACCCCATCTGCTTTGGGCGGCTGGGGGTTGGGAGAAGAGTTAGGTAAAAGAATGCCAATCCTCTCCGTGGTGACAAGAATGCAATTTTCCAGTTGGCTTTAATCGGCGACCCCATCCGCATACGCTAGAGAGGTGGAAATGCTACATTCATAATCACACTGTGTGCTCGAATTTGGCGTGAGGTCTGAAACAACGATGGGCACTTGTCATGGGGTGTTCACGGGTGTTCAACCAATCCGGTTAATGTTGTCAAATTCTTGCGCATGGACGTTGTCTGTCAGACTGTAGAACCAGGGTGCTTTACTTTCAGGTGGAAAGAGTAGGATCAGTATAGACGAAAATACGTGTGATAGTCAGGAGAGTATCTAATGTAGAAATACGAGAACACGTAATTTACTGCCCAGAACTGGATTGGCTCCAACCCGAACTGCGGACACCAATGAAATACACGAAGAATTAATAGCAGCAAATGCGTATCCTTATTGATGGAATTAGAGCACATTTTATAAAATGTGATAGGCCATATGATTGTTTGAACGACTGTCCTTCAATCACGTAACCGTTTGCGTGGACGCATCATATATACTAACTCGGATGTCATGTTCGTCCCGTGTAATATTGGCCGAGATTCCTGAACGGTGATTGGATGACATGAAACTGTACCTGGTCGTGCATGGATTGCAGTCATGAAAGTCTGGATCACCACAATATGACACGCATTTTTTGATGCATAAAATGTATTCACTTATTGGTTAACAAACTCCGTGAATATATTACACGAAGACCCCCATCAAATTGTGATTTATCATGCTTGTTTGTTTTTATACACGAATTGATGCGGTATAAAACGTGATGTATCCGTCAACTGATGAGTCACTTAAAAGAAACTCGTTTACTACCACATTTTATTTCAATCTATACTGTTGGTATTTTTCGGAAATCCCAAATATATACGCAGCACTTTCCTCTTATCTCCCGATGTTAAACTTGATGATCATAAAGGTTTGCTAGTTACAGCTTAGTAATGAACAGAACGTGATGTGGAAGTAATGCAGTGTTTTCTAACTGATTTTCGGCTTGTGTAAACTATTTTTAATTGTCATTCTTTCAGTTACGTATTATACTGTATTGTATTGTATTGTATTGTATTGTGTTGTACTGTATTGTATTGAAGCTTTAGAGAGTATCTACAAGCTTTCAGCCAAAAAATAGACCACCACTACATTTCTGGTAAAAAGAGATGAGAAGGTGAGACGTAAAACGTAAAAAAGTGAGTTAATTAGTAAATGCGTTAGAAGGCTCAAAACGAACACTTTCCTTGTCAGTAAGTATCCGGGCAAGTTAGGGTACTAAAGAGTTTCTGTATGCGGATACGCGAGACGGGATAAGTTTGTAATTAGGACAGGTAGACGGGTGGGATTTGCATACACACAAGTCAATGTGTAGAGGATGGGTGCAATCAGATAGGATATTGTCAGCAAACTTCAAGCGCGCATCAATATGAGTATTACACATATTGCCAATCAGAGCAGATAACGGAACTTGGGTGACATGGTTGAGCATTGAGAGGCCACACTTCAGCAACTTGAAATCAGGCTTCAGCAAAACACGGAAGATTACAGGGANCGGTTTGGGTATGTAAAAACCAGCAAAGATTAATTTCAAGTGTGACACCTAAGTACTACACATGGCTGACCCTGTTCATCGGCTTTCCATAAATCTGCACATTGGTAGAGGCAGATGGGGAACGGTTTAGAGTAAAAATACACCCAAGGTATTTTTCAGGATTAATATTAAGACCGGATAAAGTGGAATATGAAACGAGGCGGGATAGGTTTGTGATATCTTCAACCAGTTCTGATTGGTTCGATACAAAAACACAAATGACGATATCATCAGCATTCTTGAAATGTCGAACAGGGGGAGTAATAGGTAAGTCATTGATATAAGTCAAAAAAATATAGGGTGATAAGACAGCACGTTGAAGTAAACCCGAGCTATTGAGTGATGCGTTGGATGATCTCTTTCGCCATTTAACATACTGATATATTTACTAAAAACAAACTATTCAAGAAGAGAAGTGGGGCAGTCAAAAGATTGGAGCTTGTCAAGTAAAAAGATAACGGGGTACCAAGTCAAAAGCGGAAGAACAGTCAAGAAATGCACAATGCACATATTTGGCTTTCTCGTTAAGGGACTTACAGATGAAATGAACTAGGGAAGAAACGGCATTTAATGTACAGTGATTATGTTGTATACAAACTGGTAAGTATAATCGGGGGTGGAAAGGGATAACTGAAGGCGATGCAGAACTGATTACTCCATCAATTTTAAACCAAAGGAAGTGAGAGCAATCGGTCTGAAACGCTTCGCTATTGGGGTCTTTGACATTCCTTTGGAAATGGGAGTAATTATCACTGGGCGCCAGCATCTGGAATAGTTGGGAGTTCGAGTGAGAGATTAGCTGCGTGCAAAAATGTGAGACAGTGACAGAGTACTGTGTTTAAGAAGAGTAGGACTTTATTTGTCTGGACCAGGTGCGGTCGACACCTTGAGAGAACACGTGTTTATACATTTCACTAGAGGTGATGGGATCAAGCGAAGGTTGGATGTTTGGAGAACTGGAATCAACATAACTGGGGTGTGTCGGGCGAAGAATGAATAAACGCAGCATTCAGTTTTTCAATATCAATAGAGGGACTGGAAATCACTTTATTCCGCCTGCAGGGTAAATCGATTCCACGCTACATAGGTTTACAGTTCCTGGTCCGAAAAAACTGGCTTGCATAAAAGGCATCCAACCGTCTTATTTCACTCCTGATCAGGGAGGATAATCGTTGCATTTCGGCCTTCCTGCCACATTTAAATGCACGTTTTTTTTCACGGCGAAGAAAAGGTGTCGATATTCTGCCATGTTGAAGGAACAAAGTTATCACAGGAAAGCATGTATCAAAAACACAGTTTAGCACTTCTGTTAGAAATATCATATTGGAAAAGCAGGTTGTGTTTAAAGGAAAACAATCGTTAACTACCTTAAGAGACTCTCTAAACAAGCAATGTTGTCTGGGGAAAGATCTCGTTAACGGAACATGATGTGTTTGGGTCGAATAAAAGAAAAATGTCCTGAGTGTGAGTACATCTTAGGTCTGACCAGGATCAGGTTGTGATCACTGGTGCCTAAGGGGAAGGACTGCTTGGTAGAAAATGTGTCAGTGTGATTTGTGATTATGTGGTCAAGATGAGATTTCCCTCTAGTTGGTTCAATAATCAGGTCCCTGAGGTTTAGACACAATAAATGATGCAGGGGTGCGTGGTTAAAGTTACCAGCTATTAGTTGCAAGCTGACAACAAGAGATGGGGTAATGTACGGTAGGAAATTTCCATAAAATGTGTCATATCTGACAACCTACACAGGGGTGAAATGTGTAAATGAGTGATAGCGATCAAAGGAAAGCGGGAGAATTTGGGGTGACAAACGACAGACAAGCAATCAACGCCATTCTGTAAAAACTTAAAAAGTACTTCGCATTTGTCGCACCCAACTTCTTCCTACACCGTTGTCTATCCTGTCTGAAGCAGATAAAATTATCCAGTTGGAAAATGGAATCATTCACATCATCATTGAGCCATGACTCCTGAAGACACAAGACACAAGAGCGGCGAAATTCCTTTCGCTGGAGCGGGTAGGATAAATCCGAAAGCTTCCCAAACACAGAACGGACATTCTTACTCATAATGCTAGGTACAGTCATCCTGCTAGGATTAGTACGACCAAGAGCAGTTGGCCAACCGGCACGAATGCGTTTTTTGAGTTTGCAGTATTTGTCTGTTTGTCTACCGACTGGCACTCCAAACATGGCAGTATGGTTTTCTGTGTCAACATCCTTAATTTTGAACATGAATTCCTTTGTGTGTATGGTTAAAGCTCGCAACTGGATAGATAAATTCCAAAACGCGACGGTGGCGAGAAATTGTAGCGCAGCCGTTCAAGGGGCGTGCGTTGTTGTTTCCGAGACTAAAAATGATATGGTGTTACCACAATTCACCCGTGACTCGAATATCTACATACAAACTGGGTGGTCGATTGTCGGATTACCCACTCGGTGCTTTCATGTAATCTGTCTACAGAAATCCGTCAGAATGAATGTGTTCAAATGTATTCAGTTTTCGGTTGTACGTCTATTGTTCAAGTGAATAGTGGCTTACTTCAGTTTTGTTTGGGAAGCCTCCCTGGGTTTGCTGTAGTAGACAAGGCTAACTCAGTCTTACAAAGGCACTCAACAGGTTTCCAGATCACGCGTGTGTTCGAGGAATTTAATTCTCTTTTTAGGATATCAGTTAGAGCGAAACTGTTCACCTCAGTTTTGGTAACCATGGTCCATACACTTTTCGGTGCTGGTTTTGGTCGCTGTCTCGTGACTGCCCATGAGGAACAAGGAGTAAACGCAAGATTGAGATACTGAAGTCAATATCGGAGTGAAAATAGGCAATTCAGGAAGATAAATATTGCAAGGACATTGATAAGATGCACGAACATCACTGTTTATGATACAGTCATCTCACTCAGTGTCTCTAATTATCCAATACGCTGATCCCAATGTACCCATCCAGGAAGCTTAACGCGACTTATGTGAACAAGTTTCCTGGTAAGGTCTTATTTTGGCCAACCTTGGCGTTTTTCTTACTTATTAATGGTGC